TGGACTTTTCATTCTTTGCAATGTTAGTCATAGTTTGTTGTGATCCACACAGTTGAATTCATTTGCATAGTCAATAAAACACTAGTAAACATCTTTCTGGTAGTCTCTGCTTTTAGCCAAGTTCCATCTAATGTAAGCAGTGATATCCCAAGTTCCATGTCCTCTTCTGAATCCAGCTTGAATTTCTGGCAATTCCATGTACTGCTACAACTGTTTTTGAATTAGCTTCATCAAAATTTTACTTGCGTGTAATATTAATGATGTCGTTTGATAATTTCTGCGTTCTTTAGGATTACCTTTCTTTGGAATGGGCACAAATATGGATCTCTTTCCATTGGTTCACCAGGTCGCTGTCTCCCAAATTTCTTGGCATAAACTAGTGAGTGCTTTCAGTGGTACAACAGTTTGTTGAACCATTTCAATTGGTATTCCGTCAATTTCTGGAGCCTGGTTTTATTCCACAACTCTTCTGGTCTTCAGTCATTAGTGTCTAATGCAGCAAATCTTTTCTTGAGATGGTCTCTAAATTCAGGTGGGATATATTCAGTGCTTGCTTTTGGCTCTACTGGACTTACTTTTATTTTCTTCAGCTTCAGCCTGAACTTGCATATGAGCAATTGGTCTTTTCTACAGTCAGCCCCTGGCCTTTTTTTGACTGATGATATTGAGCTTCTCCATCATCTTTTCCCACAAATGTGGTCAATTTGATGTCTGTGTATTACATCTGGCAAGGTCCACATGTATATTGTTGTCATTATTAAGTGATATCAAGTCAGCTATAGTCACCATTTATATTGTTGAAAAGGGTATTTGCAATGAAGAAGCCATTGGTCTTGCAAAATTTTTGTCATATGATCTCCAGCATCATTTCTATTACCAACACTGTATTTTCTAACTACTGATCTTTCCTCTTCATTTCCAACTTTTGTGTGCCAATCACTAGTAATTATTAATGCATCTTGATGGTCTATTTGATCAATTTCAGACTGAAGAAGTAGGTAGAATTCTTCAATTTCTTCATCATTGGCATTGATGATTGGTGTGCAAATTTGAATGTATTAACTGGTCTTCCTTGTAAGCAGATGGATGTTATCCCATCATAGACAGCATTGTATTTCAAGATATAGCTTGAAATGTTCTTTCTTGACAATGAATGTGATGCCATTCTTTTTCAACTTGCCATTCTGGCATGTTGTTGTTAAGTGCAGTTGAGTCATTTCTGACTAATAGTGACCATATATAGGATTTCCAAGGAGCTGCTGATGGGTTTGAACTTTGAATCTTGAGGTCAGCATTCCAGTGTTTACCCTACAGTGTCACACCAGTTCCCGGCATAGTAAACCATATAATTGTCAGATTCAAAATAGCTAATACCAGTCCATTTCAGCTCACCTATACCTAGGGTACTGATCTTTATGCATTCCATTTCCATTTTTGATGACTTCCAATTTTCCTACATTTATACTTTGTACATTCCATGTTCTGATTATTAATGGATGTTTTAAGCTATTCCTTCTCACTTTGAGTTGTGCCCCATTGGCAAATGGAGGTCCCCAAAATTTTGTTCCGTTCACATAATTAAGGTCAACTCTGCTTTAAGAAAGCAGCTCTTCCCTGGTTGTATTTTGAATGCCTTCAAACCAGAGGCGACTCATCTTCTGGCACTATATGTGACAGTGTTCTGCTGCTGGTCATAAGGCTTCCAGTGGCTAATCCCTCAGAAATGGACCACCTAGTTCTTCTTCCTAGTGTTTTCCATGTCTGGCAGCTCTGCTAAAACCTGTCCACCCTGGCTAACCCTGCTGGTATATATATGAACCGTGGGTGACATGGCTCTTAGCATCCCAGCAGCAGGTGTGTGGGCCACTACACTATGACATACTGACACATGAGTGGAGAAGTGACATTTTGCAGGAATAACAACATGGTTAGCTCAGTTTTGGACATTGTGAATTTGAGGTAGCTTGTTTAAGATTCTTCAAGTAGAAACATCCAGGGGGCTGTTGGACATAGAGATTTGGGGTTCACCAGAGGACTGAGATGGAATCAACAGTATTTACATGAGCACTTTAACTGAGGTCACTCAGGGAGAACATATAAAATGAAAGAGGGCCTAGAACAGAGTCCTGAGGGTCACTGTCTGTATTTCAGGGACTCATTTTGGAGCCTTTATTCTTCAGGTACATGTGATTCTTGGGCATAGTCTAGAGGAAGGTATCAAGTTTTCAAGTCAAATGGAAATTGTTCTTAAGTTATTTGCTTTTTAAATCTTATCCTACTACTTCTTTACATTTCTGCTGATCTCTGCCACTTATTTCAGTGTGGAATCTTGGGCAAATACTACTTAGCCTCTCAGGGCCTCAGTTTCCTCATCTTTCAAATGGAGAAATCGTTTTCTACCTCTAGGGTTGGTGAGAAGATGAAAAGTGTTAGTACACAAAAGTAGAACTATCACTTGTCCAGGGTGTTTACTCAGTGAATGTAAGATAATTATTATCACTACCATCACCATTATTAGGATGGACAGTGGAGAATTGACTGCTCATTTGGAGTTACATACTGCCAAGGAGATGGAGGCCTACAGAGCTGGGTTCTAATCCTGTGTAACTTTAATTTCTCTGAGTCTCAAGCTTTTCTTTAATGGTGATGATAGCACCTACCTCGGAGACAGAGAGAATGTAAAGCCACCAGCACAGTGCCTGGTATGCATTTACTAATGGTTAGTTTCTTCCCGTTCCCCCTTCTATAGTGGTTAATTCAGGACTAGAGAAGTTAATGGCTCTGTCATCATTTTTCCCCCTCTACCTCATCAGAGGTATCCCACAATATAGCACCATTCTCTGTTGATGCTGGGCTCACCTGCTGAGGTCTGGGAGCCAAAGCCTGGTAGAAACCCTTTTCTAAAACCTATCCATCTGTCCAAAGTGACTTTCCCTCTCTCCCAATTGACTGGCCAGTAAGAGGTGTCTTGGAGTCATCTTGAGAAAGTTGGCTCCCAGAGTAGTGTGTGGGGCAAGCAAAGCAATGGACTTCAGGGCTGCAATTTGTCCTTGAAAGGAAGGGTCATGTCTTTTCATGTGTTGGTAAAGCTGATTTCTGACTTCTACTAGAGTGTCCTCTGCAGTCCCAGAGGGATCCTTCTTGGCTACGAATCTGCCATTCCTGCTCCACGGTCTGACTCCTGCAGGCTGTGCCAACTTCATCTCCGTCCTGCTCTTTCACACTAGACCAAACTGCCTGTAGAGTCCCCAGACCCTTGCCTCTGTGCCTTGGCATAGGCTGCTTCCTCTGCCAGGAATGCTGCCCCACTTATTGGTCCACTACTGGGTGAGGACATACCTATCCAGCCTCCAAAGAAATTCTCAAATCACCTCACGTGAAAACTTCTCTGTCCGTCCAGCTAGGATTGTTAGTCCCCTGTTTTCATACCCTCCTATAACCCTCAAACACACCTTCGTTGTAGCATCACAGTACATTTAAGGCAGGGAGATTATCATATTCATTCTTGAATTCTCAGTGCATTATACGGTGTCTGGCACCAAGTGGGCTTTCAGTGTTGGTAGAATGAATAAATGAATGAATTCAAGTTAGATGGATGAACAGATCGACAGACAAATGGAGCTTGTTGAGAAAGAGGTTACCACTCCAGTAAAGTGAGACCAGCCCTCAACCTTACACCCAAGCCTTTCTCTGGGGGCAGGGAAGACACACTAAAGTTCACTCATCACCAGACTGGAGCAAGAATGGAATCCCTCCTACTTCAAACCCCTCTGACCGAGTAAGGTAGTGCATATTCATAGAGAACCTACATGTTCAAGGGATGGCAGTGATGCAATGAGAAGAAATAGCCTGAAAGTGTTTTCAAAAAAGGGGTTGTGCTTTTATATTCAACACAGACATTATCATGCTCATGAACATCTTCATAGACCCTAAGTTCTCTCTTGTTCCTCTCATGGTTCTTTCTGTGGACCCCTGAGACGATAGCAACAGTGGAGAGGGAAGGATAGACAGCAAGCAGCTCCTTAGTAGGAAGTCCCCTTTCTTGCCAGTATACATTGGCATCCCTGGGTCATAGGATTATCCAAGTAAATCATACATTGTTCTCACAACACTCGGGCATTTTATTCCATAGAAAGACAATTGAAATGCGTATCAGCATCATCTTAATGAGAAGAGAGTTGCAGAAGGGCAGCTCCGCTCTTTGGTGATGCAGGAAGAGGGTCCATGGGTCATGTTAGCGCCTGTTGGTCCCATTGACCCTTTAGCCATTGCTCAGCACCAGATGGACCTAGAGGCATGGAGTCCTGCTTGAATCTTCCATAACTTCAGAGCCCTAGAACCCCTACCGGACCCAGAGCAGATGGGCTGAACTGGCTCGATCCTCATTGTGTTCTTGCTAGGCATAGGATGAGGTCCTAGGAATTACATAGCCCTGGGCTTCAGTCCAAGACCGAAGACCCCAATAGTCTCTTATCTCTGTCACCACCCTGGTTAGTCCCAGCACGGGCAGAGGGCAAAGGCACAGAGGGATACTGAGAAGGGTGAGACCACACTGAGTAAGAAAACCCAAGTCACATGGGAGATGGGCATCTATAATCCATGGCCTTCTGGGGGCATTCCAAGGAGGCAGGGGGCATGAGAAGAGGAAGAATGAGATTCTGAAGGCACTGATACAGGAACACATGGCTGTTCTCTTAGCCTGGGGTTTTAAAAGCAGGTAGGACAGTCAGGCTGAGAGAGACTGAAGCCAGGAGAGGAGCCCTCTACATTGTCCAGTTTGGAAAACTGGGGCTTGACAGTTGCAGGAGCTGCTTTGCAGCAGGCTCTACATTTAGGCCTCCACTTCCCTGTATCCATGACCCCAGAACCATCAGAAGAGCATGGAAGGGGACTTAGCTTACTCTGAGGCAATGCACTGAGGAAGCCCACTCTTTCATAGCCCCCCTCCTTCCTTCTGCTACCTCCGCCTCCTTAACCCAAGTTCCACTCTCTCTCTGCAGTCCCATCCTCTGTACCTGTGCAACGCCAGTGACGATGACAATCTGGAACCTGGATTCATCAGCATCGTCAAGCTGGAAAGCCCCCGGCGGGCCCCCCGCCCCTGCCTGTCACTGGCTAGCAAGGTAGATTGCCCACATACACTCTTCACTTTCCCCAGTCTCCTGAGAATGATGGGCCCCATTCACTGGTTTCCCTGTGTCATGGCTGGACTGAGCAAAGTGCAAGCTCACACCTCTGCACTTTTGCCACCAAAGATCTCTGTACTTTTGTCACTAGCAGAGTGGCTGGTGGGTTCAAACCACCAACCTTGTGGTTTGTTTATCCTACAGAGCCACCATGCTGTTTATGTATATTTATATACTTATATGGTGTGTCGCTATAGGATAAGCACTGGGCTGCAAGGTTGGTTTGAGCCTTAAGCTGGCAGTTCAAACCCACCAGTTGCTCCTCGGAAACCCTATACAGGGTCACTGTGAGTCAGAACTGACTTGACGGCACTTAATGACAGCAATATATATATATATAAATATGCATGGTGGTGATGTGCTGTGAAGTCGGTTCTGACTCATAGCGACCTTGTACAGGGTTTCCGAGGCTGTAAATCTTTACGGGAGCAGAAAGCCTCATCTTTCTCCCATGGAACAGCTGGTAGTTTTGAACTGCTGACCTTG